GGTGTTGAGAATAGTGATGAGCATATGAGAGAAATGCCCCAACTAAGTCATGGAAATCATGTGGAAGATTATATGGTTCATTTATGTGATGATGTGGTGTCCTGTTAAAACCTTTGATTTACTCTTGTGATTTCTTTGTTCTTGCTTGATAGTTCTTTCTAGTAAAATGGTATTTAGTTATACATACTAGTACTATTCCATGGTACTAACGTCCCTTTTGCCGGGGGCGCTACATTTTTAAATGAATCTAGGTGGCTCCATTGTGGATAGTGCCGATCGCTCGTAGAAGGTTACCTTCTTCTCCAAGTCTTGGTGAGCCCCTTCCTCCTTCAAGGGGTTGTATTGTATATCTTTTGTTGTTGTGGACTTCAATTTTTGAGGTATAGCCGGGGCCTTGTTGCCGGCATTGTCGTAGTTATCTTTTGTATCCTTAGAGGCTCCGTAGACACATGTGTGGGTTATGTTCGGGAGTTGAGGGGTTAATGAACTATGTTGTAATTCTAAACCCCTGCTATCTATATATTGTAACCTTATGGGAATTTCGGAAATTAACTTTAGCTACGGTTTAAGCCTGTAATATATAAAATGAATTAACATGGTTGAATGTATCACCTTTTCCCTGCTTAAATAAAAAGGAAGCATGGCTATCTTATTCATGAACAGTGGGGTAGGAAGTGTGTGATAAGGCTTGCTGGGTTGGGTTCACTCGATCGAGCGCCGGTCGCGCCTCACGAGGTTGGGGCGTGACATTTTTCCCAGATGATCTTGAAACATTTTGGTCACCAATCTTTGATATGTTGCACCAACATTTTTGAGACCAAAAGACATTACTTTATAACAGTAAGTCCCCCTGTCAGTTATAAATGATGTTTTTTCTTCATCTATGGGATCCATTTTGATTTGGTTGTATCCTGAGTATGCATCTAAAAAACTTAACAACTCATGTCCTGCATTAGCATCAATTAGTTGATCTATATGTGATAATGGAAAAGAATTTTTAGGACAAGCTTTGTTAAGATCTGTGTAATCTACACAAAATCGCCATTTACCGTTCTTTTTAGGTACCACAATAGTGTTGGGTAACCAATTAGGATACTTTACCTCACGGATAGATCCGTTGTTTAATAATTTTTGGACCTCATATTGAATCACCTGATTTTTGAAAGTTCCTTGCTTTCTCTTCTTTTGTTTGATAGGTGGATAAGACGGGTCTTCATTTAATTTGTGAGTCATTACTCGTGGTGGTATACCTGTCATATCAGAATGGGACCAAGTAAAATAATCTGCTTAGCTTTTAAAAATTCAATCAACTTACGGTTCACGTCTTGGCTGAGATTGGCCCCTATGTAGATTTTCCTTTCAGGCCAATGTACAAATAATACTACAGCCTCCAGTTCTTCGATCGTTGTTTTGATATTTTCGTTTTCTTTTGGTTCTTCAATGGAATCGGGCCTTGAATCTACATCTGTTCGCCCTTGTTTAGTTGAGGTTTGCGTTGTGGTATCCCCAACTGAATTATGTAATTGCTATTTTTCTTCATTTCTCGTACTTGAATCTGCTACGGAGTTGATGCTCCTGGATGTCTGTTGATCTCCACGGACTTGACATATTCCCCATGGTGATGGAAATTTAATGACTTGATGTAAGGTCGATGGAACAACATCCATCTCGTGGATCCATGGCCTCCCTAAAATTATGTTGTAAGCCATTTCTAGCTCCACTACCTGAAACTTCGTATCTTTGACAACTCCTTCTGCGAATGTAGTAAGTATTACTTCCCCTTTCGTCACAACGCTGGAATTATCGAATCCATACAAAGTATGCGCTTTTGGTACTATTTTATCCTCAGCCTGCATCTCATGTAGTACTCTGAGTAGGATAATGTTCACGGAGCTACCTGGATCAATCAAAACTCGTTTCACATTAGTGTCATGTATAAGTAAAGATATTACCACTGGGTCGTTATGTGGAGTTAATACGCCATCCGCATCTGCATCATCAAACGTAATGCTTTCTTCCTCCAAGACTTGTCGCACCCGCTTCCCGTGGGTAATTGTGACTTTGGAAACTTTATTGGCTGCTGTGTACCTCATACTATTGATTTCTTCCCCTCCGCGTATAACATTGATGATTCTTTTGGGAGAAGGCGGTTTTGGAGGCTCCTGCCTATTCTTCATGTATGCTTGCTTACCTTTCTCACTGAATAATTCGGTGAGATACCCTTGCTTCAATAGATGATCAACCTCTCCTTGTAGCAACCTACAATCTGCCGTTTTATGACCATGATCATTGTGAAACTCGCACCAATGGTCGGGATTGCGCCTGTTTGGATTCGATCTCATTTCTTTTGTCCACCGCACCTTGTCACCCATGCTTCTTAAAACAGCCACGAGCTCGGAAGTGCTTACATTAAAATTATAACCGCCAAATCGTGCCTTCAAATTTCTATCATCATCTCGTGACTCTCGTGTGTTACGATCATTTCCATACCTCGATGATGAGCCCGATTCTCTATTTCTGGATCTAGGATCGTACCTTGACTGATCATGCTTTGACCGTGAATCTTTTCCAGTTGGGCCCATATATGGTTCATACCTATTTTTACCGGACCTTTTTTCTGTTTCCGCCCGTCTTGAACTCACCTTTTCTTCATTTAGGGACCGCGAGAAAATATCTTCTTCGATCCTTAACTTTGTGCTATACCTGTTGTAAACATCATTCCATGTAGTTGCTGGGAATTCACGAAGACTTTCTTTGAGTCGCCTCGTAGCTTCTGAGCTTTTTTCATTCAAGTTACTAGTGAAAGCTATAGCTGCCCAATTATCTGGTACACGTGGTAATGTCATTCTTCACGCTGGAACCTATCCACGAACTCTCTGAGCAACTCGGAGTCCCCTTGTTTGATTTTGAAAATATCCTCCATTCTCTTTTCGACTTTTTGAGCCCCCGAATGTGCTTTGATAAACAAATCTGCAAGCTCAGCAAAAGAATTTATGGAATTTTCGGGTAAAAGAGAATACCATGTTAAATCTCCCTTAATGAGTGTTTCGCCGATTTTTTTAACCAATACGGATCCAATTTCGTGTTTAGTCAAATCGTCGCCTTTTACGCCAGTTGTGAATGCAGTCACATGGTCTCGTGGATCAGTTGTTTCATCGTATTTTGGAATATCAGGCATTTTGAACTTCTTTGGAATTGGTAGAGGAGCAGCGCTTGGCTTCCAAGGTTGCTGTGAATATTTGTCCATATCGATTCCTTTTATTACAGGCGGTACTCCAGGTATTTGCTCTATGCGGTCACTTTGTTCCTTGAGCTGTTTCTGCAATGTTAGAACTAAATTTTGGTAAATCGAAATTGACTAAGTTACTTGGTTCTCCTTCTCGTGACTCACTGGGGATTCCACCACTGTCTGAATTAACAAGCCCATGACGAGGGTTTTCCAAAGTGTTGGTATTTGGAATTGGTGTTGATGGTGCAACAGGTAACTGGCTGGCAAAGGCCTCAAGAGCTTTATTGACCTGTTGAGCGATTAGTTTCCGCAAAGCTTCATTGATAGCTTCATTATTGTCAAACTGAGCATTTGCATTTGAGTGAGATCCATCAGGAGTTCCTTCCCGGCTGGTGCACCATCCGTTATCGTCCAGCGGTTAGGATATCTGGCTTTCACCCAGGAGACCCGGGTTCGATTCCCGATAACGAAACCAATTTGTTTAACCAAAAAATGGAATTTCAGTCAAAGCTTTATTTTTAGAAGAACTCGGGTTACTGATAGTGGAAAATGAATAAAAGATATAGATTTTGATAACCAATAGATAGCAGAAAATAAAGTAAACCAGTATATTCAGATGATATTGTGTGTCCCTACAAATGATCAGTCTTCTCCCTTTTATAGCTATTTTTAAGTTATACGTTTTGCCTTTGTCATAATAAGGTCATTATGGAGGATTAAAGGCATTAAATGCTACGTTACATAATCATTGTAATTTAATACATATTCTCCAACACTTGCAGTATTTAATGCTTATTAAATACTGTATTTGGGCTCCCTTGTGCTGTCAGGTTCATTCTTCTTAACTTTTAGATTTAAATAGGTACGTGCGTCGAGTGTTTTGAACATTTGCCCGTTCCTTTTCTTGTGCTTCCATTCGTATCTATTGCAACTCGTGCCTCTTTGGTAATCATCATTCTTTGACCAGCCTTCGTGTTATGATGCGTCATCTTTCAATCACTTCAGTATGTAAATTCAATTTTTCCCAATACATAATTTAAAGAGTCTATTACACAAATGGTCACTCAACTATCCCAAATTATCTTCTAAAGTCACTTTACTTTCGTTTGAAAAAACAAAGTCACTGAACTATGCCTATTGCATTCAGAAGGTTATTCAACTAGATTTTCCAAATTTTGGATTGCCAAATATCTATTTTACCCTCTAAATTATAAAAGAAGATAAATTTTTATAATTTAGAGGGTACAATATTTATAATTTAGAGGGTACAATAAGTATTTGACAATCCAAAATATGGAAAATCTAGTTAAGTGAATTTGAGATAGTTGATTGACCATTTAAGTAATTGACTCGTAACTTAAATTCTCCTTGGGATTATTACTTGTATCGAAATTTGGCAATATTAAATAGGAGCAGTTATCAATTATTTTGACCTCCTACCAGTTTAAAAAATATTTGCCTTCAGAGAGGATCCAAGATAAGATTGGTCTCTGAGAGTTTAGAACAGTTTACTGAAGACTATTCTCAGTATAGTTTAGAAAAGAACATTGATATCTGACATTTTCTGTTTTTGGTAAAGACCGACATCCCAGTTATTAATGGTGTATATATATAATATATATATATATATATATATATATATATATATATATATATATATATATATATATATATATATATATATATATAACGTCCGAGCTCTTGCACCAACATATGTACATTGTATCATCTTCCATTAGCGCTCTTGGAAGGTAACAAAGTCATATTAGCCATGGATTTTATATGGGCAACAACTTTAATTGTTGGTCTGTTAGTATATGCCTTCTATGAGCTGCTAAACATTCAGAAGAGAAAAAGGTTTCCTCCAGGTCCAAAAGGGCTTCCCATTTTTGGACATCTTCATTTGTTAGGTAAAAATCTACACCAAGATTTACAAAAACTAGCCAAGAAACATGGTCCTATTATGTATGTACGATTGGGATTAGTACCTGCAATCGTTGTCTCGTCAGCTGATGCAGCTGAGAAGTTCCTCGAGACATATGATCACATCTTTGCTAGTAGGCCTCATCACGAAGCATCCCAGTATTTGGGTTATGGCCAGAAGAATTTGACTTTTGCAAAGTATGGAGCATATTGGCGTAACATGCGCAAACTGTGCACTGTTCACCTTTTGAATAGCCACAAGATGAATTCATTTCGATTCATGAGAAAGCAAGAAGTTGAACTTCTGATTGAATCGCTTAAAGAACAAGCTGATGATAGCGTTGCTGTTGATCTTAATGCAAAGATTACGTCGTTGAATGCTAACTTGACTTGCTTAATGGTGTTTGGAAACAAATACATGGATGAGGACTTGGATAAGAGGGGATTCAAGGCTGTAGTTCAAGATGTCGTGCATTTAGCAGGAACACCAAATCTTAGAGATTTTTTCCCATTTCTTGGTGTTATTGATCTCCAGGGATTCACTCGCAAACTCAAGGATCTTTCAAAGGTGCTTGATAAGTTTGTTGAGAGGATCATTGATGATCATGTTCAGTCTCATGACCAGAAACAAACTAAGGACTTTGTGGATACTAGGATGGAGATTATGCAATCAGAAGAAACAGAATTTCAGTTTGATCGTCGACATATAAAAGCTATCCTCTTAGTATGTATTTGTATCCCATTCACATACTAATATAATCTCAAAATACAACTATCTTTAATATTGATTCTGCTTCCTTTTCAATACAGGACATGTTTATTGCAGCAATGGACACTTCAGCCACATCAGTAGAATGGATACTCACTGAGCTTCTAAGGCACCCTCAAGCAATGAAGAAATTACAAAGAGAGCTAGAAGAAGTTGTAGGCATGGACAGAATGGTTGAAGAATCAGACCTGAAGAAATTAAAGTACTTAGACATGGTTGTAAAAGAGGGCCTGAGGCTGCATTCCATAGTGCCAGTAATGCATCATGAGGCCATGGAAGATTGTGCAGTCGATGGCTTCCACAAACAAAAGGGATCACGAATCATGATAAATTGTTATGCGATTCAGAGAGATCCAAATGTTTGGCCTGAGCCTGAGAAGTTTTTGCCAGAGAGATTTGTCTGGAGCAGCATAGATATCCGTGGACGCCACTTCCAACTTTTACCATTTAGCTCTGGTAGAAGAAGCTGCCCCGGAATGCAGTTGGGGATTACTATTGTTCACCTTGTGGTTGCACAATTGGTGCACTGCTTTGATTGGGAGATTCCAAATGGTATGCAGCCTCTTGATTTAGACGTTGATGAGCAGTTTGGGATAGTATTGTGCAAAGAAAAGCCTTTGATGGTTATTCCAACGTATAGACTAAATGTATGATGGATATACGAATTTAAATTTAGACACGTTATCTTCTTGTTGTACCTATTGAACACCTCATATTCAGGTTCTGCTCTTTTTATATTTGTGATTGTTGTGTGCTTTACGTGCTATTCTGCAAATACTGCTTTGATAATGCATTCATGCCTAATTAGATTGGTGTTTTTCGATAGTCTCATGTATTTACAGTTGACCTGTTATTTTCTTGTTTCCTTCGTATTCTGGTTAACAATTCAAAAGATAATTAAAATAAAATAGAGTAGCGTTATCTAATTGCATTTTTATCAGAAGTTGAAAAGTAATAGTCCCTTTGTCCTAATTTATGTAATATTATTTCCTTTTTATCAGTCCCCAAAAAAAAGGTCAATTTTCCTTATTTAGAATCAATTTATCCATAGTATCTTACTTTACGTATCTTAATGAGTTGATTTACAACCACATAAATATATATAATTTGTTTTACACCACAAGTTTTAAAAGTATTATTGAGTCAAACAACCTCTACATAAATTGGGACGGAAGGAGTAGTTAAGAGCTTGTGTTCTCAAAAATATTGCAGCATGTGCTGAAGTTGGCATACTCTGAAGTTTCTTTCTGTAGAAGTATTTGCCTCTTTGTGCTGTTGGTGGTTGCTTGTAATTTTCTGGCACCACCATATGCCATTTATTACGACACTTATGAGTTATGACTCATCTATAGCAAACTATACATGATCTTAAGAATTAGAGTTCACGGTACTTGACAGTTGACATTTACCCATTTTGGCAAAAACATACCGTGGGATACAGTTAATGAAGACATAGCTTCAAGAGTCTATGTGTAACGATCCGGTCGGTCGTTTTGAGAGTTATAGTCCCGATCCCCTATTCACTGATTTCTCCGTATCTGCTTCAGCTTATGTGACTTGCCCGGAGGTTTCGTTTTGATTTTTGGAGTGTTTTGAGACACTTAGTCCCTAAACGGAGGCTTGAGCCTTAAGATTTGGACCTTAGCCGGAATTGCGTGAAGACGACTCCGGAATGGAGTTCCATCAATTCTGTTAGCTCCGTTGGATGATTTTGGACTTAGGGGCGTGTCCGGATTGTATTTTGGAGGCATGTAGCTTATTCAGGATTGAAATGGCGAAAGTCAAATATTTGGAGATTTTGATCGGTAGTGGACTTTTTAATATTAGGGTCGGAATCCAATTCCGGAACTTGGAGTAGGTCCGTAATATTGAATATGACTTGTGTGCAAAATTTGGAATCAATCGGACGTGGTTTGATAGGTTTTGGCATCGGTTGTGGAAATTTGAAGTTTCAAGTTCTTTAAGTTTGAATTGGAGGGTGATTCATGATGTTTGCATTGTTTGATGTGGTTTCAGGGCTTGACTAAGTTTGTATGGTGTTTTAGGACTTGTTGGTATGTTTGGTTGAGGTCCCGGGGTCCTCGGGTATGTTTCGGATGTTAAACGGATTGAGTTTTTGACTTTTGCAATTGCTGAAGCTATTTGAGTTCTGGTGTTTTCGCACCTGTGGTGGGGAGACAGCAGGTGCGGGAGATCAGACGCAGAAGTGGATTTGGAAGCAGTGGTCAGGGTAGCACGTGCGAGGAAAATGCATGCCCACAGATGCGCTCCAGGACCCGCAGGAGCGGAAGAAGACAGCAGAAATGGACATGGTTCCATAGGTGCGCACACGCAGGTGAGACCCTTTGATTGCAGAAGCGGATACATAGTTTTTAATTGGAATCCACACATGTGATGGGAATTCCGCAAGTGCAGTGACGCAGGTGCTATAGCAGGTCCGCAAATGCGGAATAACTGGGCAGAAAAGAAAAATTCGAGGGTTTGATTCCCATTTCAAATTTGGGACTTTGAGAGCTTGGTGTGAGGCTATTTTCGAGGTTTCTTCAAGAAGATTGTTGGGGTAAATGATTCTAACTCAGATTGGGCTATATTTCATGAATCTATTGCTATTTTTATCTTCTAATTAGGGATTTGAGTTGGAAATTTGGGAGAAAATGGTAGAAACTTCATAGACTAAAATTTCGAGTTTTGAAAGGCGATTTGAGGTCGGATTCGAATAATTCTTGTTTGGTTAGACTCGTGAGTATATGAGTGTTCATATTTTGTTACTTGTATCCGATTCTTAGACGTGGGCCCGGGGAGACTTTTTAGGGCAATTTTCCAATTTCTTGCTTTACCTTTTCTCTCATTTGCTAGATTAGTTTTTTGTAGTTATATGTATGATATGTAATTAATTTTGGCTAGATTTGGGCCATTCAGAGTCGGATATTCATGGGAAGAGCATTGTTACAGATTGATTTGAGCTTGGTTCAAGGTAAGAGGCTTGCCTAACCTTGTGTGGGGGAACTCCCCTTAGGATTTGGTAATGTGAGCGCCGTGTACGTGAAGTGACGAGTGCATACACGGGCTATTTGTTGTAAAACTCCGTTTTCATTAAGTAATAGCTGGTTTCACTTCAGTTGAGCTACACTAGCATATGTAATTATCATGTTTAGTTTAGAACAACATGTCTACGTGTCTTAACTGCTTATCTGAACTCTGTGCATCATGCTTAGTGAATTCCCTGGTTCTTCCTTGACTCGTTCTTAGTCTAAATTGTAGGATTTCGTGTCATAGTTGTTATTTCTATTGTTTGAGCTATGTATTTACTTTTGGGATTACGGAACGGTATTCCGGGAGATACCCTATGCATATTTACCTTTGGGACTACGGAACGATATTTCGGGAGATCCCCCTGCATATTTACTTTGGGACTACGGAACGGTATTCTTGAAGATCCCCCCTGTCTTGCATATTTACTTTGGGACTACGGAACGGTATTCCGGGAGATCCCCCTGCACATTTACATTTGGGACTATGCGACATATCTCGGGAGATCCCCTATTGTTAGCTCTGTGTACTGTACCGTTATCTTTCCGATTGAATTTCAGTTTTATTTTATTATGTTATTCTGTTCCGTCTCATATATATATATATATATATATATATATATATATATATATATATATATATATATATATATATATATATATATACCTGTAAGGCCCTGACCTAACCTCATCACTACTCGATCGAGGTTAGTCTTGGCACTTACTGGGTACCGTTGTGGTGTACTCATGGCCATTCCTGCACATGTTTTTCGTGTGCAGATCCAGGTACCTCCTACTAGCCTCGCTTTTTGTTGCAGTCGTTGCTGTTCCGGAGACTTCAAGGTACATCTGTCGCGTCCGCATACCTCGGAGTCCCCCTCTATTCCCTTATGTTAATTCTTCCCCTATTTCTTTAGACATTGATGTATAGAAAATATAGAAATTCTTAGAAGCTTGTGACTTACGGTGTTCTGGGTCTTGAGAGAGTAGTGAATATTTCGGGAGTTGATTATTGTATATGCCGAGCGGCATCTCAAATATTTTATTAAAATTATCTGTTACTGTTAGTTGTTAATTTTTATGTTTTTCATTTTATTTCCGCAAAATATTAGGCCTACCTAGTCGTGGAGATTAGGTGCCATCATGATGGTTCACGAAGGGAGAATTCGGATCGTGACACTATGCATATTGCAGTAAAAGGCCAGCCTTCATATAAGTATTAATTATCTGCTGAAATAAGAAAATAAGACCTATATATTAATCAGAATGACTATAGAAAAGATCGTCATTGGTACACCTGTTGCAGCCACTATTTTAAAAGGCGAAAATGGGGCGAGCCCAGGGCCGTGCTTAGAATAGCAAAAATGCCTCGGGCAACCTTGAGGGGAAAAAGTACCGAAAAGCACTGTCTTAGGCTTTCGCCTAGGCATGCGTAATCCTAGAGGACTATCCTAAATTAAAAAGATTTTTTTTAATAAATCCTTAATTTAAGTCCGAATTCTCAGATTTCTGCTTGTTAAATACTCAAAAGTAAAAGAAAAACGTAAAACTCAAATTATCAAAAGCTTTTTTTGTACTTATCCCTAACCTTTTTTTTAGCTCTTTCACTTTGATTTCATCTACCAAAGGTGAAACTGTCATGACTCAGATTCCCAACCTCCGGGTCATAATGACGCCTAATGTCTACTTGCTAGGCAAGCCAACATTAGATAATCAATTTAACATTTTAACAGTTTAAAACAGAATAATAATGATTGTTAACGATAAATAAAGCTGTACTACATGAATTAATCCCATAACATAACACGATCTATTTTAATCCTATAAATATGGTGTCATCAGTACATGAGCAATTAGAAGTCTACAAGTATAGTTTGAAATAAATACAATTCTTCGAAATGATATAAACAATAAAGATAGGGATAGATGGGAACTTCAGGGACTGCGAACGCCAGCAGCTCTACCTCAAGTCTCCGTTGTAGATATGATCCGAGCAGAAGCACCACTAGACACCACTGGGACCAACACTAGTATCTGCACAAGAAGTGTAGAAGTGTAGCATGAGTACAACCGAGCCAATATACTCCGTAAATGTCGAGCCTAACTCCGACGAGATAGTGACGAGGCTATGACAAGACACCTACTTAAATACTATACAGATATATACATAAAGCAACAAAATAACAAGTAGGGCAATTAAAATATTAACTGGGAGGGGACATGTAGAAAGGGGGAGTATGATAAGAACGGAAATTACAAATTCACAAAATAGACTTTTTCCGAAAACAACAACAGTGCAACCAAGTGAATCATCGATCCAGAAATCAAGTAAAGCAATAAAATATTTAATGGCACGACATCACCATTCGTACTTTTACTCTCGCCCTCATAATTCACGTAGCAAATAGACCAACAAGTTCTATCCCTCAAGTCAAGGTTAACCACGACACTTACCTCACCCCGCAATCAAGTCAATCAACCAACCACGACCTTGGCTTTTGAACAAGACTCCAAACCAACCAAATCTAACTAATTATAGATCAAACAATTCAAAATAATCTTTAGAAACTACTCAAGAGTGAAAAAGATTCAATCTTAAATGAATTTGGAAAAAGTCAACAAAAGTCAACTCCGGGCTCGCTCGGTCAAAACGCGAGATTCAGACCAAAAACCCGATTATCCATTCACCCCCTAGCTCAGTTATGTAATTTGTTTCTAAACCAGACCTCAATTTGAGGTCTAAAACTCAATTTTATAAAACTCCAATTTCTACCCAAATTCCTAATTTCTACCATGAAAATCCTGGATTTGATATTGAAAACACATGAAAAGTATTGGGTAACTGAAAGAAAATGGATTAAAGTTTCTTACCAATGAATTTGGGTAGCAAAATCTCTTAAAAAATCGCCTATAAGTGTTCAGGATTGATAAATGGTGTAAAAATAGCTAAGTCCCGATTTTTTCCTCTTTTACCCATATGCGGATGTCGCAAATGCGAGAAACACGTCGCAAATGCGAACTGTGTCCCCTGCCTGCTTTAGTCGCAATTGCGACAAAATTATCTTAAATGTGAATCTAAGAGCAAAAGCGATCAAAGGTTCGCATTTGTGAATCTGCCTAAGCCTAGGGCTCAATTGCAAATGCGACCAAGCCATCGCAAATGCGAACTCTGGGTTGTCCGCAATTGTGAACATTTCTTCGCAAATGAAAAGACTACCCTGCACAACCTCCCATCGCAAGCTCAACTTCGAAAAAAGGAGTTCGCATTTGTGAACATGTTATAGAAATGGCGAGACTTGCAGCCCAACACCAGAACTGAAGCACACCGGCAATCCTCACACTATCCAAACTCATCCGAAACGCGTCAAAAACTCACCCGAGCCCCTTGGGCTCCAAACCAAACATGCACACAAGTGTAAAAACATCATAAAAACTCGCTCGCGTGATTAAAGCAACAAATAACATCTAGAACCACGAATCGGACATCAAAACGCATAAAATCCAAAGTGAAACTCAAGAACCTCTAGAATTACAACTAAGCGTCAGAATCCTATCAAACCAACTCTGAATTGTATCAAATTTTTCTAAAAAGTTTCAAATAAGAAAACAGACCCATTCCAAGTCCCAACATCAAAATCCGAACCCAATATCCATAAAATCAACGTACGGTCAAACTTAGGAAATTTTCAAACTTTCAATTGCTAACTTTCGGCAAAACAAGTCAAATCAACCTAGGGACCTCCGATTTCAATTTCGGGCATATGCCAAAGTCCAAAATCACAATACGAACCTAAAGGAATCTTCAAAACACTGATCCGGGATTGTTTACCCAAAATGTTGGCCGTTGTCAACTCTAGCCTTATGTTTAGTCAAATTTTCATATAAAAGCTTTTCAAAAAGCGACACGGACCACGCAAGCGAACCAAGAAACATTAAACGAAGCTACGGAAGGCCTCAAAACACGGAAATAAGGGCTAGCACATAAAATGACTTATCAGATCGTCACATTCTCCATCTCTAAAAGAAACGTTCATCCTTGAACGGACATAGAAAAGTACCTGGACTGGTAAAAAGGTGTGGGTATCTGCTCCGCATATTGCACTCGCACTCCCAGGTAGCTGCCTCGATCGACTGACCTCAATGCATTTTCACAGATGGAAAACTACTAGATCTCAGCTTTCGAACCTACTGGGTTAGAATTGCCACCGGCTCCTCCTCATAAGCTAAATTCTCATCAAGTTGGACCGTGCTGAAGTCCAAAACATGCGAGCTGTCCTCATGGTATTTCCAAAGCATGGAAACATGGAATACCAGATGTACTCGTGATAGGCTAGGAGGAAATGCAAGCATGTAGGCTACCTCGCCAACTCTCTCAAGGATCTCAAAAGGACCAATATACCTAGGACTCAACTTGCCCTTCTTCCCGAACCTCATCACACCCTTCATGGGTGAAACTTTAAGCAAAACTCTCTCTCCCACCATAAATGCTCACGAGCGCTCCGATCCGCATAACTCTTCTTCCTAGACTCAGTTGAATGAAGTCGATCCTAAATCAACTTAACCTTCTACATAGCATAACGGACCAAATCAGTGCCCAACAACCTAGCCTCTTTAGGTTCAAAACAACCGATCGACGAATGACATCACCTCCCATATAAGGCCTCATACGGCGCCATCGAATACTCAATTGGTAATTGTCATTGTAGGCGAACTCTGAAAGAGGTAAGAACTGGTCTCATGAACCACAAAAATCCATAACACAGGCGCATAACATATCCTCTAAGATCTGAATGGTGCGCTTGGACTGTTCGTCCGTCTGGGAATGAAATGTTGTGCTCACCTCAACCAGCATGCCCAACTCACACTACACGAGTCTCTAAAAATGCACTGTGAACTGCGTGTCTCGGTTAGAAATGATGGAAATGGGCACACCGTGCGGGCGGATATTCTTCTGAATGTAAACCTGAGCCAACCACTCTGAAATATGAAGTCGCCACAGGAATAATGTGTAAAGACTTAGTCAAACCATCCACAATAACATATAAGTCATCTTATTTCTTCAAGGTCTGTGGTAAGCCTACCACAAAATTCGTAGTGATGCGCTCCCACTACCACTCCTGTATCCCCAATTTCTGAGTCAATCCACCCAGTTTTTGATGTTCATATATTACCTATTGATAATTCAAACACCGAGATACATAAGCAATAATGTCTTTCTTCATTCTCCGCAACCAATAACATTATTTCAAGTCACGGTACATCTTTGTGACACTTAAGTGAATAGAATAGCGCGAACTGTGAACCTCCAAGAAACAAATCTCTCTAGACACCAACATTTGGAACACAAATCTGGCCTTAAAGTCGCATAACACCATCATCCCCAATAACCACCTCCTTAGCACCACCCTGCTGCACCGTATCCTTCAGCACCAACAAGTGAGGATCATCAAACTGGCGAGCCTTGATACGCTCCAACAACAAAGACTGTGCTACCACACAAGCAAGAACTCGACTGGTCTCCGAAACATCCATTCTCACAAACCGGTTGGCTAAAGACTAAACATCCATGGCTAGTGGCCTCTCTGCTACCGGTAAATACGCCAAACTACCCACACTCTCCGCCTTCCTACTCAATGCATCGGTCACTACACTGGCCTACCGCGAATGATATAATATGGTGATATCATAGTCTTTCAGAAAATCTAACCATCTCCGCTACCACAAATTAAGGTCCTTTTGCTTGAACAGGTGCTGGAGACTCTGATGGTCGATATAGACCTCACAATAGATGTCGTACAGATAGTGCCTCCAAATCTTCAGTGCGTGAACGATGGCTGCTAATTCTAAATCATGAAATGGGTAATTCTTTTCATGAACCTTCAATTGCCGAGACGCATAGGCAATCACCCTACCATCTTGCATCAATACTGCGCCAAGCCCAATACACGATGCATCACAATACACGGTATATGATCTCGAACCCGTAGGCAACACCAACACTGGAGTTGTAGTCAATATATTCTTAAGCTTGTGAAAGCTCCACTCATACTCGTTGGAACATCTAAAAAGAGCACCCTTTTGGGTCAACTTGGTTAATGGGGCTGAGATAGATGAAAACCCCTCTACGAACCGACGATAATAACTCGCCAAACCTACGAAGCTCCAAATCTTTGTAGCTGAAGTAGGTCTAGGCCTGTTCTGAATTGCCTGAATCTTCTTAGGATCTACTTTAATGCCCTCGAAAGATACAACATGGCCCAAAAAGGCAACCGAATCTAACCAGAACTCATACTTTTAAACTTGGCATATAATAGACTATCTCTCAAAGTCTGAAGTACTATCCAAAGATGTTGTTCGTGCTCCTCTAGATTGTTGGAGTAAACAAAAATATCATCAATGAAGACGATCACAAAAGAATCAGATTCGGCTTGACTAC